AATTTCAAGTTTTCTTTTAGTTCTTTTATCTCCCTGCTCAAATAAAGGTATAGTTAGAAATTCTCCCCAAATACAAAAATAATCTGCTAAATAAACATATCCTAATGTGAAGTGTATAGGGATCATAGGAAAACTTCATTTTATTTGTTGTTCTAGGACTCATAGTTTTATGACTAAGTTATCATAATTTTGATATGGTCAACAGCAAAACCATCGCTTGACAGAAGAGACAATCATTACTTTAGATACATTAATCACACTGGGATTGAAAAGCAAAGCAAAGTGACAAACATAGATAATTGTTCGTGGGCCCACAGCTTATTAAACAAGGTGAGGAACATACGTATTTAGTTTAGTTTCTGAGCTGAAAGCCAAATCTGAGCTGATTCCAGAAGAAAATAAAATAAATCAGTTTAATAGTAGGGTTTCTCCCTTTATATCCTTATGATCTGGACATCAACTCCAGTAATCTCCAGTTTTTACTGGGAAGTAGTTCTAGAATGCATATTTCCTTTTGCAGTGCATGGAGAAGTCATGCGGAGACCTTCTGAATTTCAATATTCTAACAGCAGGTATCATAGGATGTTTGAGACCTGACAGTTTCTTGACAGGAATGTTATGATTCATGTCATTTTATTTTGATCCTGGTTAAATTAAAGGATTATTATTATTTTGTCAGATTTCTTACTTGTGATATCATGTTGTAGTATTTTTACTAGAAGTGACCGTGGTGGTAAAATTACAGGTTTTGCATCACGTTTCAAATTCATGGAGCAAATCACAGCTCTGAAGCAAAACTTGCAATTCTAGTACTATATTATAAGCAATCTATGTGTCCGTCCAACACCCAAGTGCTATATAGGTTCAGTCACATTAAACATCAGAACAAAGTCCATACATGGAGTTTTTCCTATATGTCCACTTTTTTGGCGTGGGGGGGATCTTCATCACTCTTTCTGTTTATCTACACATGGATTTTTTTCCTTTCAATTAAACTAATTTTTCCTGTGATCTTGGATGCTAGTAGAAGATTATTAGCTTTTGATCCAGTTGAAGTGATATTGTTTTCCTGAAGTATGTATATAGTTTCCAGAGATAGAATTTCTCACTATAATAAATAGTAATATATATACATACATATATATAATTATATAGAATATATATCTGTAATATAAAATTATGTCTCTGCTACTTCTAGTAAGTTACGCAGCAAGTATTTTTTAATATCTGCTCTATGCTTGGTTCTAGTCTAGGTATTATTCTGTTCTGTATGTGACATTGTCCTTCCTACATTCAAGAATTCCAAGTGGAAACATTAGGTATATAAAAATTATTTATAAAATGACTCCTTTATAAAGGTTTGTGCAAGGTATACAGAATACTAATCTTATTTTTTCTAGGTACTGTTAGTTCTCTTATGTGATGCCAGATATACTTCCTTTGTCATCTCATTGATTCTCACAAAAGTAGGTAGATTGTCTGGCCATCACCTGGGGTGCCACGACAAATGACATGGCTGCCCAATTCCACAGAGTTAGGTCAATGCTTGGATAAAGACCATGCTTTTTGAATGTCAAAGCTGCCATCTTATCCAGATTACCACTTAACATTAAACATTTTCTTTATAATGGACATTCCTAGCTCAAAAATCAAGTGTCTTCTATCGCTACAAATCGTGCCCATATCTGATTGCATTGATAGTATGGTTTCTGTGTGACATACTACTAGTTACATCTGGAAGCTTGGGTTAGGACTAGACAAAACCAGTGAAGTCATATACCTTGAAAGACTTTGGAAATAAGTATTTTTTACAAAATAAAACCCAGTATTTTTTAAAATGTTTACTGTTAGGTCAACAATTCTAAAGGGTCTGAGATTTTACCCTTGGCAAGCTAACATGTTAACTTGTCAAAGATTCCTAGATTCTGACAGAAGGCACACAATTCCTGGCTCAGACACAGAAGATTTATTACTCCTGTTGTAGCAAACAGCATGAGTTTTATGTTAATATTCATCCTTATTGTCCCACCCAGCTCCAAATCATACGGGGGCAATGCATAGGCAGGTCTAGGTGAATGCTGCACTCCCAGTGAACTTGTATTCACACTGAAGAACCCCACCATGAGTCTGCCAGAAAACTGGTCCAACCATTGTCCTGAAGGGAAACATTATCTTTACTATTTTGGCCAGGAAAAAAAACTTTCTCTCTGCTGTAGAAGATGGCATTATCTGTCTTCCAAGGCTGTTAGCTATATAAGCATCCTTGAAAAAATGTCCAGAATCAAAGCTGAAACAAGATACATGGAAATGCCATGGAGAAATGCCTCTTGCCCCACAAATTATAGGGTCTAGAAGACTTGGAGACACGCTGTAAAATGTCAAAGATATTTGTGTATGTTTCATTATATCTTTTCTTATAGGTATAAGCAATGTCTAACTGCTGTTACAGATGATAATGACGTATACTAATGACGTTGATGTAGGTCAACATCAGCAGTAACTATAAAAAGATGAACTTATATGAGGAAGTTGGCTCTATGGGTTTTCAAACAATTGTTCCTAACTCTTACAGAAAATGAAAATGAAACTTTGGACATTGTCATCACATTTTTTTTTTAAATGGCACCTTTGTATTAGCAAATATCATTTAAAAATAACTAGCAATCCACACATGTTTGAAAGCATGTTTAAAACAAGTTTGAAAATTTTGCCTACTTGCATTCTTTCCATGAAGATCTTAATATCTCTTGAAAAACATTTAGACTCTAAGCAGACTTAAAGATCATATATCCAAATTGGTTCTGTTAAAGAATATTTAGCTTTAAATATTACTTTTGTGGGGGGTAGTTTGTCTTTCCCCAGACATCTTACTCTTCTTTAATATAGTTGTACTTGTTCAGAAGCAGCTATAATTTCACTCTTGTATATGGATATTTTTTATCGTTTCTTAAAACTGTCAGTTGGGTTTATTTGATCAAATGACCGTGTGAAAGCTAGGCTTTTTAAATTGGTGGGATTGTAATCAGAAGAAGAAAAAAAGATGATTTCTTGAGTTTTTAAATCCTCAAGCTGTGAAACAATTGAAATGATGTAGCATTTCTTTGAAGTCAACTATAGAGAGACTAAAGAAAATCTTAGAGCTAAATTTAAGTTAAGAGGAAGCAGATTACATCTCAAATTAAGTTTCTTGTCTGACGGTTTTTTGTTCGTTTGTTTTGTTTTTGTTTTTGTTTTTTTGACTGAGAGATTGTTGACTATTAGGCTTAATCATTGTAGAAAGAAATTGATCAAAATGCCCTTCATTAAATGCCTAGTTTTAAGCTGGGCTTATATGGATTCGAGGAAGAAATTACACCAACCTCAAAAATCTTAGGGTCCAGTTGAGCAAACTTGAGATTCAAAATAAGGGAAGTTTGCACATCATCAGTGATCAGTTCTAGAGTTTTTGAGAGGAAAACTCTATTCTAGAAAGGCCTGGACATATCCCAATGTATTTCCACTTTGCTTTGGTTGCTATTCTCTGTCCCAGTTGCTGCTATAAAAAGACATCCTCGGGTTGAATAGAAGACCCTGTGATCTCCCCTTTTTGTTTTTATATTGTTGTCATTTCCTATTTGGGACTTTTTCTATACAGAGAACAATTTATAATTATAACTATTATTATTATTTACTTTCAAGTGATCTTACAGAAATTATATCATTAGAGAAATTGCTGCTTCAGCATTTTGTTATTGATAAGGATTAGAGTTAAAAAAGGAGACAAAATTATTGTCAGTCCCTACACACACAGTGTCTGCTTGTCTGAGAGGGGATAGAAGAGACACAACCTTACCTGTGTTAAAATTGAATATTTCATTTACCATACTGATTAGTTTTACCCTTAAAACCTTAAGAGTCTGGGTTTAATGGTCAGTTTCTGTTTTCCAGGTGCAGGAACCCTCATGCCTTGTACCTCACTGCATAACTCTCTGAAGCAAATTCTCCACAATTATAGCTCAAGAGTCACATTTCCTCTTCCATTCATTGGAGCAGGGGAAATACAAGGATTAAAGGAGTGCTAACACAAAGCTTTCTAGAAATGACTAATATGTTTTCTCGACATTCCTTATTATCGGCATGTATATAGGTTTTGTGACAGTTCATCAATCCAAATGAGTTATCCTAAATAAAGTTTAAAGCCATCGGGACTGGGATAGAAAGATTGACTTTTGTTTCTCTTAACAATAAACCAGTTTTTGATAATTCAATATATTTTTCAGTCCATGAAACACCAATCATTTATTTTAAAAATTGCCACATATTCCTATTTTTTGTAGACTCCTATGAAATTCACTCAAAGAAAACAAAAATCATCATCCTAATAGTAAGACTTTCAATTTGTGAATGAATCCCAGTCAACAGAATCCCTAAAGTTGGATTAGAGATTATGGGGTATATAGTGAAAATATTGCATAGAATCTGGATGTTCAATTAGACCATTTTTTATTAACTTAATATTTCCAAGAATACCCAAACAGAGCTGAATTTTTCTCCCACTTGCACACCAGCAAATTAATATAATCATCATGGCTGTACTTTTGCCTTATTTTTTTCATTTTGATTTATTTGGGGTGTACTTACCTGTAAAATGGAGGTAGTAAATTTTTTGCTGTGCCTACCCTATAATGGGTCATGGTGATAATTGACATTATGAATGAAAGCCCTTTAAAAAGTAAAACTACACACTTACCATGAATATAGGTGGTGTTATGTTATTATTATTGGTATTACTAATTATTTTTGTGACAGTTGTTTAAATAAATCTTTAAAATTCTTAGTAAAATATTGTCAGAAAAACTTAAACTTTTCTCCTTTCCAGAGATTGTTGTCAATGCAATGTTAAGATGTTTCCATATTTTTGACAAAATGAAATGAATAAGTATTTTTGTTATTAAAACAAAGCTGACATCATAACAAACTGAATATGGCTAGTATTGTTCATATGTCTTTTTTAACCCTAGTTAATCCTGGAGAAATACTGCCTCACATATGCAAAGCTGGAGAATTCCGCTGTAAAAACAGACACTGTATCCAAGCTCGCTGGAAATGTGATGGTGATGATGACTGTCTAGATGGAAGTGATGAAGATTCAGTAAATTGCTGTACGTTCTCCTTCAAGTGATACTACATTTTCCTGAGTCTTTTTTTTTTTTTTTAAGATTTTATTTATTTGAGAGAGAGAATGCACCTGCAAGAGCAGAGGGTAGGGGCAGAGGGAGAGGGACAAGCAGGCTCCCTGCTGAGCAGGGATTTCCCTGCTAGGGACTCTGATCCTAGGACCTTGAGATCTTGACTTGAACCAAAGCTTAACCCATTGAGTCACCCGGCACCCTCCTTGAGTATTTCAGCTTGTGAACTGACAAAGCAGTTTGCGAAATCTAAAAATATCTGATAAAAATTGAACCTACTTTTTTTTTTTTCCCCCTCAGTCATCCTTTTACATAGAGTAGACTAGATTATCTCCTAGCATGGTTTTAAAGCACTACTTTTTTCATGCTTTTACATCTTTAATATTATCATTTTGGTTGCTCCAGAAGTCCTCCCCTTCTCTCTTCTGTGCTGTCAGTTCCGCCACACCATTGTCACAAGGTTGCTATAGGAGACCCTTTGGATCTCTAATTTAAAGATGTGGAAAATCAATTGCAACTCCCTCAGGTCAGAATTAACTCACACAGAAGGTCAGGATCCACTCCATTGCTCCTTGGCAACAGAGCCTTGAAGTAGATCCAAGGAAACAAACATGGTTTTGGATCTAGTTATTACCTAACTTCTCTGGCTCAGTACATGGTAGGAGACACATATGAGGCACTCAATAGAAATTAAAGGTTTGATTTTCTCGCCATTTGGCTTCTATTTAGCTGTTTTTCATTTCCTACAATAGGAAGAGTTTCATGTTTCTGGTTGGGATAAGGAATTGTCCCACATATTTGAAGGAAGATACTTTGAGAAACACATTAAATAACAATTTGAGAATGTATTTGATTAGAGTCATAATGGGATGGTTTTGAGATATATAAAATATTTTTGTATGGAGAGAATAATGTGATGGCATATGCATCCTTAGTCTTTTAATTTGCCTTAGATAAATTATTTTAAAAAGAAAATGATTTTCTTTCAATTGATGACATTTTCCAAGTTAAAATGGCTGAACTAATTGAGTTAATTGACAATCCTCCATTTTCTTGTCTTTCTTTTCTTTTTCTTTTTAAACAAAGATTATAAAAATCAAGTTTTATAGATCTTTTATTAAGAATGGACAGAATTGGAGTGCCTGGGAGGCTCAGTTGTTTACGTACCAGCCTTCAGCTCAGGTCAAGATCCCCGAGTCCCAGGATGGAGCAATGCATCTTCTGGCTCCCTGCTCAGTGGGGAGTCTGCTTCTCCTTCTCCCTCTGCCCCTTGCTTCCCGCCTCCCATCCATGCTCTCTCTCTTTCTCTCAAATAAATGAATAAAATTTTAAAAAATTGACAGAATTGGTCTAGGCATCTATATGGTACAACTGTCTGTATTATAGGACAAAACTCCAAGAATATGAGTTTTTAAAATATAATTTCCAGTTGTATATAAATAGGTAATACCTAAGTTATAATTAATACATGAACGTAACACTACTTTTCCTTTATTTTCAAGCATGGACTCTGACTTCAACATTACTTGTTCCATGTTTCCAGCCCTATTAATATCTATACTGTAAAGTACAAATCCAAAAATACCATATTAAATACTAAATTGATACAAATAGACAAAAATTTCAGAGTGGGAGAACATGTCATCTAAGGGTAAAAGGTGTTTTTTCTCAATTTTTTTACACAAGAGATGTATTATTTATTGATTAAATTAATTGCCTCATCACCTCTGACTCACAGTGTTTATTCATGGTTTTAGTGAATACTCCCTGCATTTCAGCTTCTTGAATAGTCACAGAACACCTGCGCAGAGCACAAGTACTCTATCACAATATTCATGTTGTGTTCCTTTAGGTTCATGCTACTCCCTGTGTGATTGTTCTTTTCACGAATTGACAAAGGAACTCATTTTCTCTATGAGGATGTAAGGCATTGCATACTGTTAATTGTAGTGTTAAAATTCCTAGTCAGGATCTTTTTTCTTGATAATTTTCATCACTTCGCATACCATTACCGAAACGAATACTAAAGGCTTTTCCTGCAATCTTCTATTTCACTTATAATCCATACTCAGTTCTGCATAATTAATTTTTCATCTTTATCTCCTCTCAAACTTCACTGGCTAAGTTAGTCTTACATCCTAGATTCATTCAGCAAGTGTCCTGCTATTATTCCTACCACTATTGCTCCCAAAACTAAAACCCGCTTTCCAAACTGCTTCCAGAGTGGTATCTATAGAATGAGACCAAATATTGTTATTTCAGTAAATCCTTAACCAACAAGATAAATTCCAAAATCCACTGATTCACATAAAAACATGTTAGGACTCAGGTTTGCAATTTTAGTCTTAAATGCCTATCATGTATACACTTACCTTCTTTGTTCTAATATATCAAGTTGGACTATAAGTAGATCTCTGCAAAATGCCCTCTGTTTCTCTCCTCTCTAACACTGCAGCTTATGGAAATCACCATGGTTTACCATGACATTTATAGGGAAGTCTTTTGTGAACTTGGAAAAATCTCTATACAGCCCAGTTGGAGTGAAACATATCATGTATATTTCTTTTTCATGGTAGTGACCAAACAATATTGCAATTATATCCTTACTTCTCTGGTGCATCTAAGAGATGGATATCTTTATGAGGAGACACATTATGTTGTAGTGTCTTTGTAGTGTCAGAGTCTAACATAGCATCCAGCATGTGGAGAATAAATGACCAAACAAAAGGGGCAACAGAAAACTAAATATCTCTGGCCACCTTCCAGCAATATGGGATTTTTTCCAAACTTGCAGTGATTCTGAGCAGTGTCATAATCTTGAGGTCCCGTGGTTAATATGCCAGCACTATGTCATTCATTTCAGAGGAGTATTTATATATTAAATGCCAGTAAACTTTGCCCTTGAATTCTGTTATCATTCTACTTTCTATCCTTTAGCTTCTCAATTCCAAATCACAGGCCTATGGGTTGTATTTATGCCTCCTTTTTGAACTCTGATTTACATCATTGATGAAAATTGCAAAAGTCCTTTATTAAACTTTACTGAAGTATTTTTGCATAATCTTGGTACTTTAAAATTTTGACCCTCTAATATATTGGATGAATTTTATTCTCCTGAGCATCTATTCTTGCTAAACTCCCTGAAGTGAGTAGAAAATGTTAATCATGATCCAATGCCAGGAAACATAAGGCTTTTTCCCCTATTTTTTTTTAACTGTACATGAATAAAAACTTTCTAAAAAAGTGATAAAACCACTTCTCACCTAAGCTACTTTAAAGAAATAGTGTTTGTAGAAACTGTCTGGAAAGGCATACATTTGCTATGCAACAGCATGATAAAATGGCTATTTTTTTCTAATTCTAAGGAAAGCTAATACTAAAATTTATTTTTGTCATACAGAAGTGCAACTACTGGGCACAAGGAAAATTACTTCAAAAAAAAAAAACACAAAGTGGTGAAACAAATACTGAGGAGCATGCCAATTCAGTTAGGAATTTAGCCTCCAGGATGCAGGAAAAATAATCACAGAAAGTTAACTTTAAGATGGCCTCCTGCTGTGCTTGATATTGGAGGTTTAATCCTTAGCTGTGCACAGCTTCCCATAGGAGGATTGGTCTTGTCCGCAGTATATTTTGTGGATTCATGTTTATTTGTTTGCACTAAGCATGAAAACTCAGGATGGTCATTTTTGTTATTAAAATTATGCAGGGGGTCGCCTGGGTGGCTCAGTGGGTTAAAGCCTCTGCCTTTGTCTCAGGTCATGATCCCAGGGTCCTGGGATCAAGCCCCACTGGACTCTCTGCTCAGCAGGGAGCCTGCTTCCCCTCCTCTGTCTCTGCCTGCCTCTCTGCCTACTTGTGATCTCTGTCAAATAAATAAATAAAATCTTTAAAAAAATAAAAATAAAATTATGCAGGATCTCATGTTTAACATCAACTCCAAGTTTTCCTTCCAGTCCCAAGAAACACTGGGCAAAGCATAACAAAATTAGGCTTATTTAATATTTCAAAAAAGTTCTGAAGAGATGTGTGGCTTAAGAAAATGTATCTTTGATAAATGACTGAATTATTGGATACGTACTTATGTTTCATGTTAAAATTTGAGGTTACTTTACTGGTGATTCACAAACCTGTACCCCTGGGGCTAATAATACACTATATGTTTATAAAAAAATTTTTAAAAAGTTAAAAAAATTTGAGGTTACTTTAAATGTTTTTGGTAAAAATTCTGAAATTGTGTTACTTTGATAAGGAATGGGAAAACAAATTTCATGATACAGTTGATTTTAGTGAAGACATGAACAAATGAATATGTTTCCTTTTATATGAGATTTCATTACTTGGTGTCTTCTATAAAAGTATTACATTTTAACAGAGCCTCAAATATTAATATTTTCTATAAAATATGCAACAATGAATGAAAGAAGCTGTGGCATTTATTGTACTATATTATAATTACTGTAAGTTGTCTCTAACTGTAACTTAAAATAATCATAATTTTATCCAACTTTAAATTATTAATCCTGATTCTCCTCTCTCTTCACCCTCCCACCCTTCCCCAGTCAATCATAGCTGTCCTGATGATCAGTTTAAATGCAAGAATAATCGCTGTATCCCCAAGAGATGGCTCTGTGATGGAGCTAATGATTGTGGAAGCAATGAAGACGAATCCAATCAAACTTGTGCAGGTAAAGGTTTGCTTGAATATATACATAAATCCCTTCCAAAGTTAGTGTCCATAAAAATGCAGGTCACTGCTTTGAACTAAGCTGAACCTTCCTAAGGCTGATGATCTGATTACTGCAGTAGTAAATGAGTTCAGAGTTTGATGCTGCAAAAGCTAGAATACAAATTATCTTTTACTTAATCCGTGGGCATGACTCTGCTTTCCAAAGTAATTTGGCACTTTATCTATCCATATGGGTTGACTGTCAATACACTGCTTGGACAAGACTTGTCCCTGCTAAATCTTAATTGGCAGTGGAGGGTGAGGTTTATTAGCATGCTGTGATGGAGGCCATCTCTCATGAAAAAGGTTTGTATGGGGGTTTTGTTTTGTTTTGTTTGCTTTTTACTTTGAAAAAAATAATGTGTGTATTTTATTTAGTCTGTTGTAGAAAACATCTGTGAATAACTTTCTGTTCCTGGCACACTATTTATCTGGCATAGATTTTTTTTTCCTTTTTCATGAAATCCCAAGATCATAAAGCCTATTAATATTTCCATAAAATTTATCCCATTGTAATACATCTGTGAATCCCGTCAGTTTCTCTTTGAATGGGGATACACAGCTTGTGGTACAGGTTATAATAGATGCTGGAAAGGTCATGATTAGTCAGATAAGTATTGAAAAATGATATTGACTAGCAGCAGCCTAGACCTATTCATTAAATGATGAAGAAAAAGTAGTATATTTGATGACTCTTACTGATATCATTGGTAAAAATCATGGGGTTATTTTTGTTTTGTTTTGTTTTTTTGTAATCTTTACATACAACAGTGTCAAAATTTATCGACACCTCCCCTTCTCTATTTGCCAAAATAAGCCTCACTAAATAAAAATTATTATAACCTATTAGTGAAACTGTAGGGACAGCATATACAGAAAAGACCTAGAAATTAAAAAGCCTGGTTTGTACTCTTGATTGTGTCACTGGTTTTCTCTTGGAAAGACTTGTCCCTCAATGCACTGTAATTTCCTTGTATATTTCTTTCTGCTCCGCAAGAGTATGAATTGACTAGAAAATATTTCCTAACTGCTTTTTATCATGTACTAAGCAACAATGAAAGAACAAAACAGTCCGTATCCTAACCTGCATCTCATATTTAGCTTTTTTTTTTTTTTCCATAGTGACATATTTGCTGAGGGTCTATAAGCTAGTTATTCTCTTGTCCCTTGACTAGATATAGTTTGATATTTTAGAGTAGCTATTTTTAAGTTATTTTGTGCATCACATAAGGTTGTTTTACAAAGAGTTATCAAATAAAAAGGAACCTATAGAGACTCTTTGGTCCTAGTCTCTCCCTTCAAGTCCATTCATTTCATAGATGAGGCTCTGACTTGACTTAACTCACATCATTGGCAAGAACAGGGAAACTCAGTGGGTAAGTTATTCTTGAAGCCCATTGCTCTTCTTATAAAACTATATCATCCTGAGTTTTAGCTAGAATTTTAGTTATGGTCATTTTAACTTTGCCCAGATTGTTCTTACAATAATGTTTATAATTTACAATGAAGAGTCTTTCTAAGCTGGTGCAATTATTATTTTTTTTTAAAACTTAAGATTTAGTTCTGAGACTGTTCCATTACTTCCTAAACAGATAGGTCTGTTTTCACCTTAAAATTAAAGGCATTGCTGACTCAATTCATAATAATATGTCTTTTTTTTTTCATTTATGTTACACTCTTAAAATCTGCTTGTTTCCACATGATTTTAAAGGGAACATTTGGGATGACTATCTACTAATAGTAGTAAAAGTGGAATGCTATGTATAAGAGCAATAAAACAATCAATCCTAATCAGTCCTAATTAGTAAGATTTCTCAGCCAGTCCAGGCCTGTAGTCCACTAGGAAATGGGGTACAACCTGCTTGCACCTCAAGTGTCACTTTCAGTGATGGTTGATGAAGCATGCCAATCATTACTAGATCTTCTTGTCAGTATATTTATAATAGATGCTATGGTCACAGTATGCCTTAAGAAATTAAGAAGAACAAAAATTAAGGATAAAAAGAATAAAAAGAAAACCACAAATACACCTTTTAGCTTTGAAAATTAAGTATGCTGTTGTGTTACCATACATTCCCATTTTGTTTGACCAAAATAAATAAATAGGTCACGTAGTTCATCATACTGAAAAAAAAAATATGGCAAATACATTAGATAATTTCTCTGGCTGGGTCATTTCTATCTATAGGCATATATACGGATATGTGTCACAGATAAAGGATTTCCCAACATGACGGTTATTTTGTAACTAAATCCACTGTCCTGTAGCTTTCAGCATTGTGACTACTTTATAACTAAAAGATTTCTTTCCTACAAGATGCCAATTTCCAATTTTGTTCCTTTGGGATTTCTCCTTCATGACGTGAATCTACTAATTCAATAAAAACTTACCACAACATTGGATATAAAAAGAGGACAAATACACTATATCTTTCATTAGAAGGCTGAGTGGAAATGGGGAGAAAAAAACATGTAAGCAGGTCATTCTAATGCAATATTCAAAGTGCTAACTTGAACTACAAATGGAAGCACAAGAACTACTAATTTAGTCTTTGTGTATCTGGCAAGGGAGGTGATAGCCGAACAAGCCAAAGAAATAAAGGAAGGAAGGAAGGAAAAGAAAAGAAAGAGAGAGAGAGGGAAGGAGGAAGGAAGGAAGGAGGGAAGGGACAAAGGAATGAACCTGAATAACAGTTCAAGTCATTCAATTAAATAATTGAATAATTATATTCAATTATAAAATATTCAAAATATTCAAATATAAAATAGATAATCTGATAAAATTAACCTTTGGCAAGATTGTGGAATAAAAGGCAACATACACTTTTGGTGATGTATAAATTATTTTTTCTACATTGGAAAGCATTTAGCTAAACCCAATAAAGTGGAAATTGTGCACCTTCAAGTCTGTATTTCCATTTCTAGATTTATACTCTAATATCTATGCTCAAAGAGATGCAAGTAAGAAATTCATTGCCCTAATGCTGGTAATAGTGAGAAATTAGAAATAATTCAAATGCCCATTAACAGGAATTATATATATATATATATATATATCTTTCACTATATAAAAAACTATATATATAAAACACCATATAAATATATATATATATGCTCACATATATGACACTATATAGTGTTATAATCACATAGTAGAACATTATTTGTACTTAAATTGAATAGACTAGAACTCAAATACCAACAGTAATTAATTTCAAAGGCAATGTTAACTAAAAATTGCAGATTATAAATCACTTAGTGCCATTTATATGAAATATAAAAATATAAAACAATTTTACATGAGCTTATTTATTTATAAATGTGTAAAAATAGGATTAAAATATGTATGGAAATGGAAAAAAAAAAGATTATAAGCCAAGGATAGTAGTTACATCTAAAAAGATAGAAATATGACTGAAAAAAATTACATAGGTGATTTTAAATGTACCCATAATACATTTTTCTGAAATAAAACAAAAATAGTCTGTAGTAAATATAGGAAAAGAGATATGATAGAGCTGTGTGATGGTAGACCAGTGTTAATATTATTATTTTCTATGCTTTTTTATGTGATAGAAATATTTTACTGGGGCTGGGGGGAGAAAAGAATGATGGATTGGCATAATTACTGAGGGTGAGGTGAAGTCCATGGCGTGGGTGGGGGTTAGAGGATATGCTTGAAAGACAAAACAGCACTAGGCAGAAGAAAGCTGACAGGGGCTTGGTCATTGTTCTCCCTTACAAAAAAGAAAATATGTTTCTCTACTTATGAGAAAGACCCAGAGGCCAAAGATGAGGAGTAGTTAGATGTGAAGTTATTTTTCCTCATAGTCGCTAATGATAATCCTTGGATTCAAGGCTAGGCAGTTTCAGACCAGATTTTTCCACAGCACTGAGCTCTAATTAGATTCCATGTTTATTCTTCTCACATCCTCCATGTAGTTTGACTAAATTCAAACTAGGCAGATATATTTGAATTAAGAAAACCTGATATATTAAAAATCAGACTTCCTTATAAGATAAATTGAAAAATATGTGTTGATATGACATAGGTTTTGTTTAAATAGAATACTTTGATTAAAATATGGCAAAGGTGAAGTTTAGGAATAATGTGTGAAGATCTCTTCACTTCTTCCTCCTTATTGTTCCCATGCATTGTGGGATTTCTCACTGCTACATGACAGCAGGAGAAGCATAATTAGTGATGGGTAGAAAAAATTCATATCGTGACAGTGGATTTCTGATTCACTGCTAGATAAACAATTCCGCTGAGGAAGTATAAATTTCCTCTTCATTAGAGAAGCATTTGCTACAATATTTGAGTCCTCTGGGGCTGCTTTGCTAATCTCACCTCCAGACTAATTTAGATCTGATAGAGACAGGAACTGAAAAAGTCTTAAATGTTGTGTCTTCTTGATATAAATCCAGTGATTAAAAAGAGATTATTTAGTCCATGTGATTATATCATATGGACAGACAGTACTTGTCGATTTATGGAATGAAGCATTCTTCCTATCTGGAATGACTTAAATTTCCTCACTAGACTAAGCAGATAGTTTTTCCATGATTAGAACAAGGATTCATGTATGTTGAGGTTGTATGATCCCTCAGCTAATAAGCCAGTAAATACTCTTTCGAGTAATGGGTCCTGACAGTTCTTCAAGCTTCTGAGTTAGTGAGGCGACACACAAATTCCCACACTACACGATGTGAAATAGGTTCTTAGGAATTCTTTCTCATTCTCTTCTCTCATCACTGTAGTGCCAATCATGAAGGAAAACAATATCAGAAAACTTACTAGAACTAAATCTGAATGGCAAGGAGGAAATACTGTGACATTTAAAAAATCAGATAAAAGAATATTTTATTGGGATATTTAATATATTCTTATTATGGGTCAATTAAAATTTAATAGGAATGAAAATATGTGATGGCATATTTTTCTTTAAACAAGAAAACAAGAAAGACTAAAGGAGTGAAATAGGGAACGACGAAAGATAAGAGATATAGGAAAGAATAAGTGGAAAGAAGAAGGAAGAGAGAGGAAGAAACAAAATAAGGAAGGAAGAAGAGAGGAAGGAAGGAAAGAGTGAGGGAGAGCTGAAAGAAGGAAGGAGAAAAAATTGAAAAGAAAACTCTCTTATTAAATTTCTCTTAAACCTCAAAAGGTAAAAATTATTTACTGCAATCAGAGAAACAAAACAAAGACTTGCAAGAAAAAATCGATCTTGTTCACACCTCTATGCCCTTTCCTTCCCACCAAGTAAACTAAATGCCAACACCTTCATCTTTCTCTAGGCTATATACATATTTTTCCAAGTAGTTTTATTAAAATTACCTGGGAACTTTGTTGATTTAATCTATAAAGAAATATTTTTTAAGATTTTATTTATTTATTTGACAGACAGAGATCACAAGTAGGCAGAGAGGCAGGCAGAAGGAGAGAGAAGGAAGCAGGCTCCCTGACGAGCAGAGAGCCCGACGTGGGGATGGATCCCAGGACTCTGGGATCATGACCTGAGCCAAAGGCAGAGGCTTTAACCCACTGAGCCACTCAGGCGCCCCCTGTTGATTTAATCTAAACATTAGAATAATTTCACAGAAAATGCATAGTAAACCAAATGAGACAACAAATATTTAATCCCACTTGAAATTACAACATTGAAATCTTCAAAAGTGTACATATTTGTGAGATACTTAAAATCTATTAATGCAAAATAAATGCTCTATTTGTAAAAAAAAAAAAAAAGGAAAATCCAAATATTACATAAAATATTTTAGATTCAGAACCCTTAGCTACATAAGCAAATTAGAATACAAAGTGTAATGATTTTCTAGAATTTCTAATTATAGACACTAGGTTAGAAATGGTGCTTTGAATCGAATAAGCCAAATCAAACCAATAATGTTTTCATTGTTTTTCTCAAGTAAGCTTTTAAGTATCCACTAATAATAGATATCTTTTTACATAGTAAGTACACTTTGCTAAAAGGAAATAATTAGCACATAACTTTGTAAAGATTATTTTAAATGACCTCTGAAACCCTGATTTACGGAAACCCATTTTGGTGTGTTTGGATGACTTGTCTTTCAACCACTCTCAATTTTATACCAACCATTAGGTCATGAGACATTTTGATGAAACAGAAATGCATCCTTCTAATTCTTAAACCCCAAAACAGAGGGAAGTGTATAAACTGAGCAATGTTCTCTTGTCATAACTACAGAAATCCAAACCCTAGTTTTTCTTCATCTGTCCGGTCCTCATGAACTCAAATATTAACGGGTTTGAGTATCCCCTTCCTATAATTTCCCACTCTTTTTTTCTGACCAAATAAAAAAAGGGGTGGTAGGAAACTGATACTTAAGAAACAAATTTGTGTTTCAGACAGACAAAAGAAAAAAAAATCAATATTTAAAAATAAGTAAGTAAAAAACAAAAACAAACAAACAAAAAAAACAACAGAACCTAAGTCAGCAAAACTAAAATCTGGGAGAAAGTTTAGGATAGCTGTCTAGGATTTCATGTTTTCAAAAGTTGACCTGACTGTAATAGAAAATGGTAATCAAACTCCTTGTAGAACATAACCAACCCCTTCACTGAGTAATTGAAACTACTGCCTTTGGCTAACATAAAAAGAATGATTCCACGTGTGTGTTCATTGAAACCCATGAAGAGGCCAAAGCGAAGTTTATTCATATATTTTGATTAAAAAGTTATACAGTTTTATTTAACTATGCTGAAAAGTGAATTTTAAAAAATCTGTAATAAGGCTAAATGTATGTAAGTATGTATGTACTTACATATATGGTTATGTATATAAGTATGTATGTACTTACATATATAAGGCTAACTGTATGTGTTTAAGTACTATTTTCTGCATTCTAAAATTTCTGCATTTTCTCCCTACATTGGATCACTTAGAGACCAAGAAATAAATGTACTGAAAGGTTAAAGGAAAAGAACAATTCTATCCCCGTGACTAGAAACTAGATACCCTGATATAGTCTCCAAATCCTTCATCCCACATTACAGCAAGTTTTCTTGGTTTATTGACAAAGACTATGTGAAATTCTTTTTTGTTAATTAAAAGTTGGATGAAATTTAATTCAACTGTGTATTCATAAGCATGTGCCAGGCAAAAATTGTAAAATAATGAATTCATAGCTTCATTTATGGAAGTGTGTGAGGATTACTGAATATCTTGTCATTTAGCAGCCACTGTAATTGAAGGGGAAAGCATGTGAACTTCAGAGAAGACAAGCAAGCTGGAAGTATCAATTAGCAAAAATTTACTTTAAAATATTTTATCTAATAAAGCAATAGAATATCTTATGTGTAAAAGAGTTATTGCATGATTTATTTCACCTGAACATTGTTCAAAAGGTCTTTAAATGTATTATTTGTACATTAATTGATTATCTTAGCCAGAACATGCCAGGTGGACCAGTTTTCTTGTGGAAACGGCAGGTGCATTCCCAGAGCATGGCTATGTGACAGGGAAGACGACTGTGGCGACCAGACAGACGAAATGGCATCTTGCGGTAAGTTATGAGTGAACCATGCTGTTAGTGAAGACTGTGTCAAATCACTATAATCTCTCTCAAGAGGCAATTTATTTCTTTATGAACACTAGTCAGCAAGTCAGAAGATGTGTTACATTTTATCACTGCCTTTTAGGCCCGAGTGTGTACCTTAATGCTAACTTTAGAATATATCTGTTTAATGAGTCAACACCATATTCTAGGCTAAAATAAATGGATCCAAACATTACAAATTTTATTAGGATGTGGTTATTATAAGTCTAACAGGACATTCGCAAATGTTTGTTATTTATCTTATGTTGGTAATGATTTTTTTTTTTTTCAAATAGAGTAGCTCATTGAATGACATTTGGAGTAAATTAGGAGTACACGTTTCTTGTTGGCATGCATATGTTATCTTCTTGGAACAATAAACAATACAGACTGAGATTACATAGTTGTTAAATCATTTGTTTCATTTCTCTTGAGTCATATAATTCTGTTGTTAGTTTAAGATAGTTTTGTTAATGGCAAAATTCTTAGTCACTTTCCACCAATCCTCCTTCTTTTGGAAATGGCATTTATTGTTACTTAAAGTTTCAAATTTTAATTACTCACATTTGTGCCCATGTATCAGTAGATTTAATTATCAATCTCTGAGTTATGTGCAGTGAAACAGTAAGGGAATGAATCCTGTTTTCTAAGAACTTGGGCCTTATTTTAGGCATGGATATGGATTTTTAAAATCACCAATGAGGAAAACATGCACTAGATATGCTTATCACATTGATTAAATATATAATGCAATTGGGTATATTTTTTTTAATAATTTAACTCCATGTTCTAGCACTTCCAACAGTGGGAAAATAAGACTTTTTTTTTAAACCTTTCAATTTAAAAAGCTTTATTTAGGGGATGCATTCATGATTTACCTAAAATTTCATTTTGAAAAATTATCTTATACTTGACCTATGTCCCTGTAGACTTTTGATTGTGTGACCTTTGAATAAAGTATAGATAAGTAAGTAGTACTAATTGACATTGTAAAGAAAACAAAACAATACCAGTATTAAAGAAGAAAGCAATAGACAGTCACACACAGTAACAGTTAATTTTACATTTCACATGTAGATTTTCCAAAGCCTGTCCAGTTGAGGGATTTGAACAATATATCCTTCTCCTTTCCAATGCCCAGACTATTCTTGTGGCTGGGTCTGCATTTAGCCAGCTCTGTTATTTAAGAAAGCTTGATTGCTTTCCTGTCCCCAGCATCTCCTTCCAGAATATAGCAAAAAGATAATGAATAACCTGAAAACATTAAAGACAGTGAAACTCTGGAATCAGTCTAATTTAGAAGGAAAGGCTATGAAAGCATTATAGAATAGGAAAATAAATAATGAGCTCATTAGAGAACTTCGGTTAGATTTTTGATCCGACATATTTAGTACTTTTCACGAGATGAGGGAAAGAAGGGTTGGAGGGAGTTCAGACATATATTTTCTTCTTGAATATTTATAGCAAATCTATGAGAAACTTACTATTGTTCAGATTTTACGGATAAGAGAATCAAAACTTAGAGACATTTGACAACTTGCATGAGATCACAGGGCTAATAAATAGCAAGACAGGCTGTGAATCCAGGCATACCTGAAACTAAAACTCAGACATTTCAGGTCAACTTTGTCTGGGAGCCATGGATTGGGTGGAAATAGGGAGCAGATCAAGTCATTATATCTATCCATATAATTGACTATCTTATTTTAAAACGTATACATGTAATGAGTTTTGTTCATTGGTGGTTTGATAAATCTTTTAAGATCTCATGCTGGGGAGGAGTCCTGATCTAGTGTTTACCTATTTTTTGTGGTGTCAATACTCCTGCCATGGCCTGTATCAAGTTGCCAACGTGACTTTCTGAATGCGGATTTGGGAAAATATGTGCACACCCACATATAGTATTTCCACAATACAGATGTAATAAACATAACTAACTCCAAGAGCAAAATAATCAGGAAATTATGAACCTTGAGCATTTATTACCTTGGCTTTCAACATTATTTAATTAGAAATGTATATAGTTTATTTATTTCAAATAATAGATGTATGCTTAACAACTGATTCCTAGAATCCTTGAAAATTTAAAAATCGATTCTTGCAGGCTGGTACAAGATGTCTCCAATATACCACTGGATATGAACACACTGTGAAATGTAGTTGTCAGTTTGCTTCTGAAATTTAGCCAAATTTTATAGAGTGTCAGTAAGCCACATGGGTTAGTCTCAGCACCGCTTCCCTTTTATAAGGTGAGAAACATGTTTCTCTCCACACTTGTCCCTCTCTGTAGTAACATGCATTTATCTTTTAGATTGTCATTATAAATCAAAATTTATGTCAGTAGGGAAGCTGATAGTGAAGCTCTGGTAGGCACAATCTCACTTTTAAAGCTGTAGGAGAGGATGACAGAGATTATTCTCATATCAGATACTATTTCGGCACTGAATTCAAAATGACAAAAACATTATAAATTGTTTAATTTACTGCATTAAAAAAGTCACCCTCCTTGGCAGTAATCTAGAAATGAATATAGGGTCAACTAATTCCCAGTTCTATTAAGCATCATTAAAACATTTGGAGTGATCATGTTTCACTTTTCCCTTTGGAATCAGTCAAGTTCCCATAGGTCTAATCTTACTAGAAGACAGCAGTCTTTTTTTTTTTCTTACACTTTAGCTCCACAAACAGCTACTGTTTTGTTTAATAACTACCATTTTATACTGAAAATAATACCAAGATTTGGGTTTTAAAACATGAAAGCCTATGGTTAGAAATGCTTCTGATTATAGTTAGGAGCAGAAGGTGCTGAAACTAAGGGTCAAATTTTAGTGGAATTCACTAGCACCTATTTATAAACCAAGTTAATTGTATATTTCAGGTTGAGATATATGTGGGCAAACACATAATTTGGAAGGCCTTTGAGCATTCTCCTTTCACATTTAAACAATCTTTTATCTTTTTTTGGTAGTCTTCATGTATAGACAGGAGACTCTGTAAACTGATTCTGCAAATAAGAGCAGATATTTTAGAATCATAAAGACTGTGTTGGAAGTGGACTGTGTGTCAAGGAACTAAATGGTCACTCATTTAAAGGATGGTAGCATTGGTTCTCAACTTTAGCTCTCAGTTAAAAAAATCACCCGAGAAGCTTCAGAATCATTTGCCATGCCTCACCCCAGACTAATTAAATAAGGGTTCTTAGAGGTCAGACTCAAGAATCAGTAATTTTAATGCTGCCCAAGTGGTATGAATGTGCACTCAAGTCTGAGAACACTTAAGGCCAAGGTTCTCAAACCTGAACATTCATTAGAATCTCCTAGAGGGCTTGTTAAAAAAGCAAAAGAAAAAACAAAAACAAAAAGCAGAATTCTGGGCCTGATTTCCAGAGACTATGATCCATTGGATCTTAGATGATTGAAAATTTATATTTCTAGCAATTGATGCTGATGGTCAAGAGAACATAATTTGGAGAGCACCATTCAGGTTTGATTTTTATCTTACATATATACTTAATTACATAACTTTGTTTATATATGCAAAATGAGTTAAGATGGAAGCGATTATCCAAACAAACTTTCTTCCCATCTCCAAATTATAGCATTAAACATAAGTGTATTTCATGATTAAATGTAAGATTATTTCAGGCAAACTTATATTTTCCCCTTGGAAAATTTATTGTCAAAAACAAAATTTGTTTATTTTAAATGGTAGTTTAACTATTTTGAGATTGTTGTGTCTTCCAAGTATCTCAACATATCTTATATTTATTACTATTTTTTAAATAAATAACCTTGATGGGTGTTGATAACTTCTGATTTGTTCAAAGGGTTTAACTTGGGAAAATATCTAAAATTTATTAGGAGATTGAAAGTCAGTTCAATGGGATATAAATAAACATCCATTAAAACTTATAAGTTAATATGATTCCAATTTATATATTGATCTTTTAAATCTATGAAGGTAGTAAAATTTTGTCTCTTGTACTTGTAATCTTACCTGTAAATGTTCTTGTAATTTTATTGCACATAATTAAGGAACAAAGAATCAGAAAGAGAACTGGCAAATATCAGGCAAAAGCAGACGAGAGAGAGAACTGTCAAAAAAAAAGTCATTTCCCAGTTAAATCAGTGTATGTTGTATATTAAAGATATTTTCAACTAGGGTATTAGAAAAAGAAAGGTTCTGATGATGTACATTATTATATATTACACATTTTTTTTAATTTTGTAAGAAAAAATGCATATGTGTTTAACAACTTAAGTGAGGATTATTAACCCAGTGGAGTACTGGCAAAATATGAATATTGTCAAGCACTGCTTTCAGTTGCTCTGCCATTTCTTAATAACATCTTGGCAGACACAATGATTCTGGCAACTTTTAGTTTTGGTAATTTGATCCAACCCATTTGAAATTCAGTATTTTATCTAAGAGCTTTCTTCTCTCTCACTACTGGCTAAACTTTGGGTTCTAAGAACTTAAGATGAGAGGCAACCGTGTTCCGTTTTTTTCCTCCCTACATCTGTTCCCTCTTCTGGCCTTAGCTCTTCAGTCAGCTGGGACAGTTGGAGAAATAGGAGCATCTTTTAAAGTAGGTCTAGTGGTAATCTTCTCTGCTTCTCTGAAGGTCACTGCCCTCTGATGCATGAGCAATGCAGCTCTCTTGAGAGACTCATATGTGAGATCTTCAGGGAGGCTTCTCTTCATAGTTCCTTGAACTCCCTTTCTTCTCTGTGTCCTCTTCTTCTCCTTCACATCTAGATTTCTTTTATCCCCACCCCTACCATTCCCACCACAGACGGCATATCTCATAGACTTAAGTTGCTAAAGCCTCCTTTGTTTGGAGGGTACCCTCTTGGTTGCATTGCTAATATAACAAAAAAAAAAACAAAACAAAAAAAAAAAGTTTGCTTTCTTTTGCAGGTCCACTTTTTATCCCCTCTCCCCCACTCTCTTAAATGTGATCAGGC